TACCAAATACAATGCTCTTAGTTTGAGAGATGTTCAGGACCAGTTTATTACTGGCCACCCATTCCAAAACAGACTGCAACTCTTTGTTAAGGGTTTCAGTGACTTCATTAGCTGTGGTTGCTGATGTGTATATGGTTGAATCATCAGCATACATGGACACACATGCTTTGTTTAATGCCAGTGACGGGTCATTGGTAAAAATAGAAAAGAGTAGAGGGCCTAGAGAGCTGCCCTGTGGTACACCACACTTTACATGTTTGACATTAGAGAAGCTTCCATTAAAGAAAACCCTGAGTTATATTAGCTAGATAGCTCTGAATCCACGATATGGCAGAGGTTGAAAAGCCATAACACATTCGTTTTCTCAACAACAGGTTATGGTCAATAATATCAAAGGCTGCACTGAAATCTAACAGTACAGCTCCCACAATCTTCTTATTATCAATTTCTTTCAACCAATCATCAGTCATTTGTGTCAGTGCAGTACATGTTACGTGCCCTTCTCTATAAGCATGCTGAAAGTCTGTTGTTAATTTGTTTACAGAGAAATGACATTGTATTTGGTCAAACACCATTTTTTCCAACAGTTTGCTAAGAGCTGGCAGCAAGCTGATAGGTGTGCTGTTAGATCCAGTAAAGGCCGCTTTACCACTCTTGGGTAGCATAATGACTTTGGTTTCCCTCCAGGCCTGAGGACAAAGACTTTCCTCTTGGCACAGATTAAATATATTACAGATAGGAGTGGCTTTAGAGTCAGCTACCATCCTCAGCAGCTTTCCGTCTAAGTTGTCAATGCCAGGAGGTTTGTCATTATTGATCGATAACAATAATTTTTCCACCTCTCCCACACTAACTTTACAAAATTCAAACTTGCAATGCTTTTCTTTCATTATTTGTTTTTTTATGCATGAGTACGATGACTCACTGTTCGTTGTTGGCATTTCCTGCCTAAGTTTGCCCACTTTGCCAATGAAGTAATCATTAAAATATTTGGCAACATCAAATGATTTTGTGATGAATAAGCCATCTAATTGTCACGATCGTCTTGAAAAGAAGCGGGCCAAGGCGCAGCGTGAGATGCGTACATATTAATTTTTTTGTACACCACAGCGAACAAAACAACAAACGATACGTGAAGTCCTACGGTACAAACACAAATCAAAAGGAACAAGAAACCACACCAAACGAATGCCTTACAGCTACCTAAGTATGGCTCCCAATCAGAGACAACGAGCTACAGCCGTCTCTGATTGGGAGCCACCCTGGCCAACATAGAAACACAAAACTAGAACCTAACACCCTGGCTCAACATACGAGAGTCCCCAGAGCCAGGGCGTGACAGTACCCCCCCCCCCCCCAAAGGCGCGGACTCCGACCGCGCCAACCAAACACAACAGGGGAGGGACCGGGTGGGCACTCCGCCTCGGCGGCGGATCCGGCTCCGGGCATGACTCCCACTCCCTCTCTAACCCCCCCAAAGCGCCCCTGGTCCGGTCTGGCCCTGCTGGCCGGAGCTGGACTGAACACTGGTGGAGCGGAATGCTCTAGCTCCGGAGTGGAGCAGCTGACCGGTGCCGGACCAGGCACCGGTGGAACAGGCACGGGCTGTGCCGGACTGACGACGCACACCACAGGCTTGGTGCGGGGAGCAGGGACGGGCCGGACCGGGCTGACGACGCGCACCACTGGCTTGGTGCGGGGAGCAGGAACAGGCCGGGCCGGGCTGACGAAGCGCACCACTGGCTTGGTGCGGGGAGCAGGAACAGGCCGGACCGGGCTGACGACACGCACCATTTGCTTGGTGCGGGGAGCAGGAGCAGGCCGGGCCGGGCTGGCGACGCGCACCATAGGCTTGGTGCGGGGAGCAGGAACAGGCCAAACCGGGCTGGCGACGCGCACCACAGGCTTGGCGCGAGGGACAGGAACAGTCCGGACCGGGCTGGCGACGCGCAGCACAGGCTCGGTGCGAGAGGCAGGAACAGGCCGAACCGGGCTGGCGACGCGCACCACAGGCTCGGTGCGAGAGACAGGAACAGGCCGGACCGTACTGGGGACACACGCCACTGGCCCTACGCGGGGATCAGGAACGGGCCGGACCGGACTGGCAACACACCCCAGTACCTCTCGCCGTGCCTCTACATTCTCCTTCCCCCTGGTGTCCAGTAACTCCCGTAACCTGGCGGCCTCCTCTGCCAACCCTCTGAACCACTCTATCCCGTACTCCTGCTGCCCCGTCGTCCACGGCGTGAGCCCCCCCCTAAAAAAATTCTGGGCTTGTCTCTCCCCCGTGGACCAGGCCTCCATGGTTCTCGCCCAACTCTCACTCCATTGCTCCCAATTCCAACCTCTCTCCTCATCACGCTGCTTGACCCAGTCGTGGTGGTTTCTTCTGTCACGATCATCTTGAAAAGAAGCGGGCCAAGGCGCAGCGTGAGATGCGTACATATTTATTTTTTTGTACACCACAGCGAACAAAACAACAAACGATACGTGAAGTCCTACGGTACAAACACAAATCAAAAGGAACAAGAAACCACACCAAACGAATGCCTTACAGCTACCTAAGTATGGCTCCCAATCAGAGACAACGAGCTACAGCCGTCTCTGATTGGGAGCCACCCTGGCCAACATAGAAACACAAAACTAGAACCTAACACCCTGGCTCAACATACGAGAGTCCCCAGAGCCAGGGCGTGACAGTACCCCCCCCCCCCCCCCCAAAGGCGCGGACTCCGACCGCGCCAACCAAACACAACAGGGGAGGGACCGGGTGGGCACTCCGCCTCGGCGGCGGATCCGGCTCCGGGCATGACTCCCACTCCCTCTCTAACCCCCCCAAAGCGCCCCTGGTCCGGTCTGGCCCTGCTGGCCGGAGCTGGACTGAACACTGGTGGAGCGGAATGCTCTAGCTCCGGAGTGGAGCAGCTGACCGGTGCCGGACCAGGCACCGGTGGAACAGGCACGGGCTGTGCCGGACTGACGACGCACACCACAGGCTTGGTGCGGGGAGCAGGGACGGGCCGGACCGGGCTGACGACGCGCACCACTGGCTTGGTGCGGGGAGCAGGAACAGGCCGGGCCGGGCTGACGAAGCGCACCACTGGCTTGGTGCGGGGAGCAGGAACAGGCCGGACCGGGCTGACGACACGCACCATTTGCTTGGTGCGGGGAGCAGGAACAGGCCGGGCCGGGCTGACGACACGCACCATTTGCTTGGTGCGGGGAGCAGGAACAGGCCGGGCCGGGCTGGCGACGCGCACCATAGGCTTGGTGCGGGGAGCCGGAACAGGCCGGGCCGGGCTGGCGACGCGCACCATTGGCTTGGTGCGGGGAGCAGGAGCAGGCCGGGCCGGGCTGGCGACGCGCACCATAGGCTTGGTGCGGGGAGCAGGAACAGGCCAAACCGGGCTGGCGACGCGCACCACAGGCTTGGCGCGAGGGACAGGAACAGTCCGGACCGGGCTGGCGACGCGCACCACAGGCTCGGTGCGAGAGGCAGGAACAGGCCGAACCGGGCTGGCGACGCGCACCACAGGCTCGGTGCGAGAGACAGGAACAGGCCGGACCGTACTGGGGACACACGCCACTGGCCCTACGCGGGGATCAGGAACGGGCCGGACCGGACTGGCAACACACCCCAGTACCTCTCGCCGTGTCTCTACATTCTCCTTCCCCCTGGTGTCCAGTAACTCCCGTAACCTGGCGGCCTCCTCTGCCAACCCTCTGAACCACTCTATCCCGTACTCCTGCTGCCCCGTCGTCCACGGCGTGAGCCCCCCCCCTAAAAAAATTCTGGGCTTGTCTCTCCCCCGTGGACCAGGCCTCCATGGTTCTCGCCCAACTCTCACTCCATTGCTCCCAATTCCAACCTCTCTCCTCATCACGCTGCTTGACCCAGTCGTGGTGGTTTCTTCTGTCACGATCATCTTGAAAAGAAGCGGGCCAAGGCGCAGCGTGAGATGTGTACATATTAATTTTTTTGTACACCACAGCGAACAAAACAACAAACGATACGTGAAGTCCTACGGTACAAACACAAATCAAAAGGAACAAGAAACCACACCAAACGAATGCCTTACAGCTACCTAAGTATGGCTCCCAATCAGAGACAACGAGCTACAGCCGTCTCTGATTGGGAGCCACCCTGGCCAACATAGAAACACAAAACTAGAACCTAACACCCTGGCTCAACATACGAGAGTCCCCAGAGCCAGGGCGTGACACTAATTCGATGAAAGATGCAGTTAAATTTGTCTTTCTGCCCATAATTTCATTTAAAATACTCCTAAGTATTTCCCCATCATTCTTTATATTATTGATATTGGCTTCATAATACAGTTTCTTCTTCATTTTGTTGAGTTTAGTCACATAGTTTCTCAATTTGCAGTAAGTCAGCCAGTCAGATGTGCAGCCCGACTTATTAGCTACTCCTTTTGTCCCATCTCTTTCAACCATTGTTTTTCAATTCCTCATCAATCCATGGAGCCTTAACAGTTCTAACAGTCAGTTTCTTAACAGTTGCATGTTTATAAATAATTGGAGGAAGCAATTTCATAAATTCATCAAGTGCAGTGTCTGGATGCTCCTAATTAATCACATCAGACCAACAAATATTTTTTACATCATCCACATAAGAGTCACAGCAAAATCTTTTGTATGATCTCTTATACACTATTTTAGGCTCAGCTTTTGGAACTTTGGGCTTGTCTCTCTCATCCCTTCCAGGCTTTGGGAGGGAGGGTGGACAATGAGCACCTCATAGCGGATGTAAGCAATGTCCCCACGAGCTTTGGCAGCTTTAGTAATTTTAGTAATTTAGCAGATGCTCTTATCCAGAGCGACTGACAGGAGCAATTAGGGTTAAGTACCTTGCTCAAGGGCACATCAACAGTATAATAAACACACTGACTGCATAGCCCCACCAAGAACCATCACAATGTTGAGACTCAAACTGAGAAACAAACAGGGAGAAAGAGACACCAAGAGGGTTGGTCCACTCTTCATCCCTTTCTCTTCTTTCTGCTGCGTGTGGGTTGTCCATCTCTCTGTTTAGCTGTGGGTTGTCTATCTCTCTGTTTAGCTGTGGGTTGTCCATCTCTCTGTTTAGCTGTGTGTTGTCCATCTCTCTGTTTAGCTGTGGGTTGTCCATCTCTCTGTTTAGCTGTGGGTTGTCCATCTCTCTGTTTAGCTGTGGGTTGTCCATCTCTCTGTTTAGCTGTGGGTTGTCCATCTCTCTGTTTAGCTGTGGGTTGTCCATCTCTCTGTTTAGCTGTGGGTTGTCCATCTCTCTGTTTAGCTGTGGGTTGTCCATCTCTCTGTTTAGCTGTGGGTTGTCCATATCTCTGTTTAGTTGTGGGTTGTTCATCTCTCTGGCGCTGTTGAGCAGCAACATGTGAAGACGCGTTTTCTCTGTGCTCCTGTCCTGTCCAGGGCGAACAATTTACTATTAATACATGACCAACACCTCCCCTACTGTGTTAATTTTGTAACATTTAATTAGGAATCAAACCCAATTCACTAATTAGGCAATTTTTCGGACGTTTTTGTCCTTTCTATCGTAAAATGTCGAAACAACAACGGCCACAAGTCACAAAAGAGCAGGCCTCTACTAAAGCCTCGGGCTCACCAGACACTGACAAGGACTCTGATCCCCCCAGATCTAAGGTAATGGCGGCTATCATTAAGTCTGAACAGACTGTGCTGGCTAAGGTGGAGTCACTATCCACTGACCTATCCACACAAATAGCCACTCTCGCCACAAGGTCAACACAAAGATTGACTCCGTTAAAGAAGACTTGGCGAAACAGGACAGGACGTCTGAATAGCCTGGAAGGTGGCGCAAATACTTACTCTGACAAAGTGGTGACACTAGAAGAGCAAGTCACCCGGCTATCATCAGATGTCGTCAAACTGACTTCCAAGGTCGGGGACCTCGAGAACAGACAGCGCCGGGGGAACGGTCGCATTTTCGGCATGAGAGAGGGACACAAGACCGTAGGTGGATTGCGGCCTACCCTGTTCATAGCTAAACTGCTACACCCTTGACCGTGTGCACAGAAGCTTACAGTCCCCACCGAAGAATGGGGAGCCACCCAGACCCATTGTAGTCAAATTCCACTACTTTCAGGAGAAGGAGGATGTCCTCCGTAAGGCATCACGAGCGGCTTCCATCATCCACGATGGCCAAAAGATTGGCATTTACCCGGACTACACGGCAGCAGTCATGAAGAAGAGGTCAGCCTTCAACGAGGTGAGGGGGCTCCTACATTGCTGTCTAGACACCAAGTTCGGCATTCTCTACCCAGCAATGCTGAAGATCACTACTCCCTCTGGCAAGCAGAAGACATTTGTGGACCCAACCAGTGCCAAAGAATACATCGTCGCGCACATATATCCACAGGACGACAGGCGACATACGACTATCTAGTCATTGTAGGCCCATACTCTGCCCCTGACCCTATACTAGCCATGCTAACGCGACTAAGGACCAACTAGTCCTCATCTCTTGATTAGAAACGTGCCTCCACCCTGCTGCCAAAAAAGGAGGGATACCTCCTTTTTTTAATATATATTTTTATTATCCTTCAAATATGCTTATTGCCTAAGATACATTGGAGAACTGAGGTGGTACCCTCCAGAATCCCTTCCCTATGTGTAAACTTGATTATGTTCGCCCTTGTCACGCCCTGGCTCTGGGGACTCTTATATGTTGAGCCAGGGTGTGGATTTTCTATGTTTTGTTTTCTATGTTTTTGGTTCTAGTTCGTTTTGATCTATGTTGGCCAGGGTGGTTCCCAATCAGAGGCAGCTGTAGCTCGTTGTCTCTGATTGGGGACCATACTTAGGCAGCCTGTTTGGCACTAGTATTTTGTGGGATCTTGTTCCGTTAAGGTTTTGTGTATAACCTAGGACTTCACGTATCGTTTGGTTTATTGTTTTGGTTCGTGTGTGTACTAAATAAAGAATGTACGCTTATCACGCTGCACCTTGGTCCGCTTCAGTCAGCGATCGTGACAGCCCTGGATAGAGCTCTACTGAGTTTCGGTTTGCTATAGTCTAGGAGAGGTAGATGCAGCCTTCCAACAGGGGGAAGGCCTGCATAGCGGTCCAAGGTTTTCTTCTGGGTATTTTGTTGTTTTTAGCAGTTTTTTATTTTCATTATTTTTTATTACTCTGACCTTTCAGCACACTGGCAATGTGATTGTACTAACATTAATTTCTAATGACTATGACTATGCCTAATTCACATACTCTAGGCTCCTCTTGCTTTATCAGCTGGAACTTAAAATAAATTAACCATGTGGTCAAGCGTAGGCGAGTGTATGCTAATCTTAAGTCTTTAAGTCCAGACATTGTTTTTCTCCAAGAGACCCATCTCCGGTCCAGCGACCATGATAAAGTAAATAGAGGATGGGTAGACCAAATATTTCACTCCAACTTTGGTGCTAAGGCCAGAGGGGCAGAGGGGCAGCCATCCTTATCAGAAAAGGCACCCTGCTTGTCTCCTCCAAAGTCATTTCAGATACTAATGGCAGATATATTATAGTGATGGGGAAATTGTTTAGCACACAGGTTGTTCTGGCTAACCTCTATGGTCCTAATTGGGATGATGCAACATTTTTCTCTGACCTCATTGCTACACTTCCCGACCTTATTTGATACTGGGTGGAGATTTCAATTGTATATTACATCCAAGTCTAGACAGATCCAGACCGAAGCCCAACAATGTAATTTCAAAATCAGGCGCAGTAATCAACTCAGTTCTAGAATCCTATAATTTGTCTGATCCATATGGAGGAGGAGCAATCTCACTGCTAAACAGTACTCATACTCTAGGATTGACTTTTTCCTGCTGGACAATAGAATTCTTCCTTTTGTAACTAATAGCCAATATCACAGCATCGTTATCTCAGACCATAGCCCTGTCCAGCTAGATATCCGCTTTCCGGACAGTACTGCGTCACAACACGTGTGGCGACTTGACCTACTACTACTATCCTGTAGTGCCTTTAAAAAATACATATCAACTCACATTGATGTCTTTTTACATATCAACTGCACCCCTGGCGTGTCTCATTCTGCTGTGTGGGAGTCGTTAAAAGCATATCGAAGGGGCCAAATTATTTCATACACAGCATATGACAACAAACAGCACACTAAACGCTTATCGGAGCTATCTCAACTCATTCTAGATGTACACAACAGATATGCCTCTTCTCCGACTCCTGAACTCTACAAAGAGAGACTGCTACACCAATCGGAATTTGACAATCTTTCCACTAAACAAACGGAGCAGCTTCTGTTTAAGTCGATGCAGACATTTTAGGAACACAGAGAGAAAGCTGGCAAGTTGTTATCTCACCAGCTTCGACAATCCGCTGCTAGCAGCACCATACCTGAAATCTGTGTTGCAACTGATTTAACTTCTACCAATCCCGAAGAAATCAACAATCAATTTAAGCAATTCTACTCTGCTCTTTACTCGTCAGAGGCTCTTCCTGACACAGCTCGTATGCATGCATTTCTAGACAATCTGGACACCCCCTGTCACAATTCAGATGAACAAACTAACATGGGATGCCTCAATAAGTGATGATGAAGCTACACTGGCAATCCAGTCCATGCAGAGCGGTAAAGCTCCTGGGCCTGATGGCTTCCCTATTGAATTTTATAAATCATTCTCTTCTAAACTATCCCCTATCCTCAGCTCAATGTACAATGAAATCCTTTCTAGTCAGAAACTGCCCCAGACACTTACCCAGGCGACTATTTCGGTTTTACTTAAAAAGGACAAGAATCCCGTAGACTGTGGCTCATACCACCCTATAAGCCTTTTGTGCTGCGATTATACATTTCTCACTAAGGTCCTCTCGTGCCGTTTAGAGACAGTGATGCCTAATATAATTAACTCTGACCAAACTGGATTTATCTCAGGTAGGCAATCATTCTATAATACGTGCCAGCTATTTAATGTTCTTTATTCTACCCACTCAACTCGACAGCCAGAGATCGTCATCTCTCTTGATGCTGTGAAGGCTTTCGACCGGGTTGAGTGGGAATATATATTTACAGTACTAGAGAGATTTGGGTTTGGCCCGTCATTCCTTTCCTGGATTAAGATGTTGTACTCGCCCCCAGTGGCTTCTGTTCGCACCAACAATGTTACCTCCAGCTACTTCCCTCTCAACAGGGGGGCCAGGCAAGGTTGCTGTTTATCCCCTTTCCTATTTGATATGGCTATTGCTATCGCCCTGCGGGCATAGGAGAGGATTAAGGGAATACTAAGGGGCGACATAACTCACAAGGTGTCCTTATATGCAAACAATCTTATTTTATACATCTCTAACCCTGTGGAGTCTATACCCTATCTCTTGGACATGCTACAAAGTTTTGGGACATTCTCTGATTATAAGTTCAACCTAACAAAAAATGTGCTCCTCCCCATTAATCAGTTAGCAGAAGGTATTGGGTATGCCAATTTCATTAGCAGGTTGCATTAATTCTGTTAAGATGACTGTACTACCTAGGTTTTTGTACTTATTCCAAATGATTCCCATTTTTCTGCCAAAGTCGATGTTCAAACAACTGGACAGCTACATTTCCAACTTCATTTGGAATAAGTAAAATCCACGAATGAGAAAGGTATATCTAGAGAGACCTAAGCTCCCAATGTTTTACACTACTACTGGTCAGCAAATACAGTGAGGGAAAAATTTTTTTGATCCCCTGCTCATTTTGTACGTTTGCCCACTGACAAATAAATGATCAGTCTATAATTTTAATGGTAGGTTTATTTGAACAGTGAGAGACAGAATAACAACAAAAAAATCCAGAAAAACGCATGTCAAAAATGTTATAAATTGATTTGCATTTTTATGAGGGAAATAAGTATTTGACCCCCTCTCAATCAGAAAGATTACTGGCTCCCAGGTGTCTTTTATACAGGTAACGAGCTGAGATTAGGAGCACACTCTTAAAGGGAGTGCTTCTAATCTCAGCTTGTTACCTTTATAAAAGACACCTGTCCACAGAAGCAATCAATCAATCAGATTCCAAACTCTCCACCATGGCCAAAACCAAAGAGCTCTCCAAGGATGTTAGGGACAAGATTGTAGACCTATACAAGGCTGGAATGGGCTACAAGACCATCGCCATGCAGCTTGGTGAGAAGGTGACAACAGTTGGTGCGAATATTCGCAATTGGAAGAAACACAAAATAACTGTCAATCTCCCTCGGCCTGGGGCTCCATGCAAGATCTCACATCGTGGAGTTGCAATGATCATGAGAACGGTGAGGAATCAGCCCAGAACTACATGGGAGGATCTTGGCAATGATCTCAAGGCAGCTGGGACCATAGTCACCAAGAAAACAATTGGTTACACAATACGCCGTGAAGGACTGAAATCCTGCAGCGCCTGCAAGGTCCCCCTGCTCAAGAAAGCACATATACAGGCCCGTCTGAAGTTTGCTAATGAACATCTGAATGATTCAGAGGAGAACTGGGTGAAAGTGTTGTGGTCAGATGAGACCAAAATCGAGCTCTTTGGCATCAACTCAACTCGCCATGTTTGGAGGAGGAGGAATGCCACCAGCCCTTTGCCTTGACGACAGCCCTTTGCCTTGACGACAGCTTTGCACACTCTTGGCATTATCTCAAACAGCTTCACCTGGAATGCTTTTCCAACAGTCTTGAAGGAGTTCCACATATGTTGAGCACTTGGTGGCTGCTTTTCCTTCACTCTGCCATCCGACTAGACTTTCACCCAGTTCTCCTCTGAATCATTCAGATGTTCATTGGCAAACTTCAGACAGGCCTGTATATGTGCTTTCTTGAGCAGGGGGACCTTGCAGGCGCTGCAGGATTTCAGTCCTTCACGGCGTAGTGTGTTGCCAATTGTTTTCTTGGTGACTATGGTCCCAGCTGCCTGCTGCCTTGAGATCATTGCCAAGATCATCCCGTGTAGTTCTGGGCTGATTCCTCACCGTTCTCATGATCATTACAACTCCACGAGGTGAGATCTTGCATGGAGCCCCAGGCAGAGGGAGATTGACAGTTATTTTGTGTTTCTTCCAATTGCGAATAATCGCACCAACTGTTGTCACCTTCTCACGAAGCTGCATGGCGATGATCTTGTAGCCCATTCCAGCCTTGTATAGGTCTACAATCTTGTCCCTGACATCCTTGGAGAGCTCTTTGGTTTTGGCCATGGTGGAGAGTTTGGAATCTGATTGCTTGATTGCTTCTGTGGACAGGTGTCTTTTATAAAGGTAACAAGCTGAGATTAGAAGCACTCCCTTTAAGAGTGTGCTCCTAATCTCAGCTCGTTACCTGTATAAAAGACACCTGGGAGCCAGTAATCTTTCTGATTGAGAGGGGGTCAAATACTTATTTCCCTCATAAAAATGCAAATCAATTTATAACATTTTTGACATGCGTTTTTCTGGATTTTTTTGTTGTTATTCTGTCTCTCACTGTTCAAATAAACCTACCATTAAAATTATAGACTGATCATTTCTTTGTCAGTGGGCAAACATATAAAATCAGCAGCGGATCAAATACTTTTTTCCCTCACTGTATGTGTAATACAACTGTTAGCCCCAACCCATTCACTACCATTTTTGGGGTACTTCCCCTAGATCGGAATGCTACCACGCCGCCTTCCTTTATACAGTGGGTTAAGGAGGTGATGTCATCTCTGCCTCTGGAGGAGGTTAGGTACACTGTGCATGGGTCCTGACAAAAGTTAGACTTAACCTGGTCCCGATTAATACAATACGTGGAGTGCCTGTCTTTTACTTAGTCTAACTTGCATATTTTGGTAAGCATTCATGTCTGTTCTAGTGGCCATATATTGTGCTGATAAGATTAAACTATGATTATGATTCCGATTGTATTTTTATTGAACTTTTTCCATAGTTTTTCGTTTCTATTACTGTTTCTATTACTGTTTCTATTACTGTTTCTGTCCTATTTAATTTACTTTTCTATGATATCCTTGTATGATGCCTTGGTGGGTGGGTGGGTGGATTGGAGGGAGGGAAGGAGGGAGGGAGGGATGATGGGGGAATGAGGGGTTGTGGTTGTACTGTTTTTCTGTTCTCATATCTGAAAATCTATAAATAAAGTAAAATAATAAATAACAAATGTGTTTTTTGGCAGAAATACTTTCTGGAACATGTGAACTTTCATGTGCCTCAATAACAAACTGATATTCCATCCATAAATACGAACAAAATTGTTAAATTACGAGCCTAGTTGGTTTAGCCATGGAAAAAGACAGGAACCTTCCCACTAGCCATGATTGGCTGAGATAATATATGGGCTAGACATGCCGGGAGATGAGTTTGGATTGGTCTGCCATGTAGCACGCTTCTGTCTATAACGTGAGCAGTTCAGTATGTGTTGACAGTCCTTTCTCCCACGCCGTTTTTGAAAGATATAACGTTAACCATCGAGAACTACAAAAGTTTTGTTACTTTTCTCAACAACATTGATGCCCTGAATTTAGCAGGCGCTATCAACAGATCAGTAAGAAAAAGTGATGGTCTACTTTCTACACACGCCACGGTCAGTGTGAACCGGAGTGACTTGACACAAAGCTGGCCAAACAAGATATAGCTACAAACAAAACGGAGTAAATGGTTCCAGTCTGCCGTGAAGTGTTCATCCATGTATACGGGTAAGAGTCTAGCTACATTTTCCAGATATACGTTTCTAATTTTGTCAGAAATTCATTTTTATTGCAAGTTAAAGCATACTGTTAGTTAGCTAGCAAACATTAGCTTGCTGGCTCACTAGCTAACGTTACGTGTATGATCAGTGTAGTAATATTATTAGAATCAGAAACCATTTGCATTGCTAGTTATAGCCTAATGTTAGTTAGTTAACATTGAACCTAGTTTGTTAGCTTTAGCTACCTGCAGATTCATACTACAGCTATGACAATGTTTGTATTGGTAGTAGTATGAGTTGGAGTTGGAGCCGGTTCATTGTTTAGCTAGCTAGCTACATGTCTAAACAAAAGACTCCACTTCGGCCAGATTATTACATTCCCCATCAAATTAGCAGGTTGACTACAGCAATCAATTGTATTTCATGAACAATTGTATTTCATGTGTACATGTCTAGACAATAGTGACCCATCCATTTAGCTAGATGTGGGTGAGGGGTGGTTATAGCATTTCCTTCACATGACCCAATAGTTTAGACAAGTGTGTTGGATAAGTGTCATCTAATAATGATAAAGTATGAATACAATATTTTTATCTGGACACTTCCTGTTTTTGATATTGCTACTATGCAAGTATGGAAGTACTATCACTGAACCGTTTACACCTTCTGAATCCTGTGCATGTGACAAATAAACTTAGATTTTTATTTGATATAGCGAGTGTTTACCACATGGCCTACATGTGAATCCTTAAAGAGATGGGTGGCTTAAGAGGGTGTGAATGATGCTGAATGGGTGTAGACAAAGAAGAGCTCTCCAGTAGGTGTACGAAAACATTCAAGGGCCATTTTCTCAAAAGTGGGCTTACAAGTTTATTAACTTTCAAAGCCGAATTACTTTCCCATTGTTCCTCAACTGCAGTGTGTAATATACCATTTTGTGGCTCTGAGTCTCTACTTTTATCCAATGTAAAAAACACAATTTCTAATTTTGCTACATAAGACCGAATCAAGGAGGTCGGTCACATTTACATAAGTATTCAGACCCTTTGCTTTGAGACTCGAAATGGAGCTCAGGTGAATCCTGTTTCCATTAATGATCCTTGAGATGTTTCTACAACTTGATTGGAGTCCACCTGTGGTAAATTCAATTGATTGGACATGATTTGGAAAGGCACACGCCTGTCTATATAAGGTCCCACAGTTGACAGTGCATGTCAGAGCAAAAACCAAGCCATGAGGTCGAAGGAATTGTCCGTAGAGCTCCGAGACAGGATTGTGTCGAGGCACAGATCTGGGAAAGGGTACCAAAACATTTCTGCAGCATTTCCAGGTCCCCAAGAACACAGTGGCCTCCATCATTCTTAAATGGGAGAAGTTTGGAACCACCAAGACTCTGGAGGAAACCTGGCACCATCCCTACGGTGAAGCATGGTAGTGGCAGCATCATGCTGTTGGGATGTTTTTCAGCGGCAGGGACTGGGAGACTAGTCAGGATCGAGGGAAAGATTAACGGAGCAAAGTACAGAGAGATCCTTGATGAGAACCTGCTCCAGAGCGCTCAGGACCTCAGACTAGGGGCGAAGGTTCACCTTCCAACAGGACAACGACCCTAAGCACACAGCCAAGACAACGCAGGATTGGCTTCGGGACAAGTTTCTGAATGTCCTTGAGTGGCCCAGCCAGAGCCTGGACTTGAACCCGATCGAACATCTCTGGAGAGACCTGAAAATAGCTGTGCAGCGACGCTCCCCATCCAACCTGACAGACCTTGAGAGGATCTGCAGAGAAGAATGGGAGGAAATCCCTAAATACAGGTGTGCCAAGCATGTAGTGTCATACCCAAGAAGACTTGAGGCTGTAATCGCTGCCAAAGGTGCTTCAACAAAGTACTGAGTAAAGGGTCTGAATACTTATGTAAATATGATATTTCCATTTTTGTGTTTTTGCTTTGTCATTATGGGGTATTGTGTGCAGATTGATGAGGGGAAAAAAATATTGTATCCAGCTGGTAGCCAGGAAGCAGTCATGTAGGTGCATTCTCTATTTAGTTGATGGGTCTGACCCCAGGTATGACCCCCGGGTCCACCACCACCACCCACACAATCAGGTAGTGGTCCTCCAGAACCACGTTGGTCACCAGGGGAACCAGGTCCAGGGCCTCCTGCTCCGATCCAGACAGTTCCAATACTACCACTAGGAGGTTGGTCCATGTGAACACAACACTGAGACAGAGAGGGAGAAAGAGACCGATAGTTAGGTTCAGTTTCAACAGACAGCTACAGCAAATAGCTCTATTACTACGACCTGGAGGTTGGTCCAGGTGAACACAGCACTGAGGGGGGAGAGACAAGGGGAGGCAGGGGAGGCAGAGGGGTTCAGTGGTCGGTTACAGAACTGATCAACTTTGACCTGTCACAAATAATGTTTTGATCTGTCTTAATATAACAGCTGTGGTAATCTGCTTCCTGGTTACAAAGGTGTGTCTCTGTGTTAATCTGACTCAGTTATCGAGGTCTGTGATGGAGGTTTATGCCTCACCATTCAGCAATGCTCTTGTGAGAGCGAATGACGGAGGTCTCAATGTCGATGGAATGATACCTCATCCCTCTCAGCTCTACAGTCTCATCCCGAGACCCCACCACGTAGAGCCTCATGACGCTCTGGAACACAAACACACACACACACACACAACACACACTATTTAGCAACATCCAATAGGAATGAATTAGAAGGCTTTGGGCGCGTTCCTCTACTCAGACGTTGCTGACGCCTGCCAGATCTTACAACGCCTGGATAGGTATTTTACGTATCAGCTAAACCACATCATACACTACACGACCAAAAATATGTGGACACCTGCCGTTGAACATCTCATTCCAAAATCATGGGCATTAATATGGAGTTGGTCCGCCCTTTGCTGCTATAACAGCCTCCACTCTTCTGGGAAGGCTTTCCACACAAGAGCATTAGTGAGGTCAGGCACTGATGTTGGGCGATTAGGCCTGGCTCGCAGTCGGCGTTCCAATTCATCTCAAAGATGTTCGATGGGGTTGAGGTCAGGGCTCTGTGCAGGCCAGTTAAGTTCTACCACACCGATCTTGACAAACTATTTCCTTCCACAAACTGTTACCACAAAGTTGGAAGCACAGAATCATCTAGAATGTTATTATATGCTGTAGAGTTAAGATTTCCTTAAGGGCATAGTCCGAAGCATGAAAAACAGCCCCAGACCATTTTTCCTCCTCCACCAAACGTTACAGTTGGCACTATGCATTCGGCCAGGTAGCGTTCTCCTGGCATCCGCCAAACCCAGATTAGTCCGTCAGACTGCCAGATGGTTAAGCGTGATTCATCACTCCAGAGAACGCATTTCCACTGCTCCAGAGTCCAATGGCAGCAAGCTTACACCACTCCAGCTGACGCTTGGCATTGTGCATGGTGATCTTAGGCTTTTGTGTGGCTGCTCGGCCATGGAAACCCATTTCATGAAGCTCCAGGCGAACAGTTATTGTGCTGACGTTGCTTCCAGAGGCAGTTTGGAACTCGGTAGTGAGTGTTGCAACTGAGGACAGACAATTTTTATACACTTCAGCACTCGCCGGTCCCGTTCTGTGAGCTTGTGTCGCCTACCACTTCGCAGCTGAGCCGTTGTTGCTCCTAGACGTTTCCACTTCACAATAACAGAGCTTATAATTGAACAGGGCAGCTCTAGCAGGGCAGAAATTTGACGAACTGACTTGTTGGAAAGGTGGCATCCTATGACGGTGCCACATTGAAAGTCACTGAGCTCTTCAGTAAGGCCATTCTACTGCCAATGATTGTCTATAGAGATTGCATGGCTGTGTGCTCGATTTTATATACCTGTCAACAATGGATGTGGCTGAAATAGACGAATCCACTAATTTGAAGGGGTGTCCACATACTTTTGTATATATAGTGTATGTTATAGCAATCTGGTGCCCGATTGCACAGTCTATGACGTGGCTAGCAATCATTGATTGATGCATGCAACGTCTGAGCAGAGGAATGCAACATTTAATACTGAGAGAGTGAATAACTTATTCAGCCATCTTTAGAGGTAAGCTCTGTATGATCTCAAAGTAGAATAGTGTCGGAGCACAGTAGGGGTTAGTATTGTTCTCTCTCCTCAATAATACAGCATGGCGTTGGAGCCATAGAAATATAATCTATAGATCGGGCCTCCCCATTCAAGTCAATGATGGATAGATTCTATTTCTATGGATGTAGCAGGGTTAATGTTGTTTCTCTCCTCTAACCTCAGCTGGTGTCGGTAAACAAAGTGCGTCGTAGGAACCGCAGGTGTCCTGTCCTGGCCCAGATGGCCTGTCTGCGTGTCTCTGAAGCTCAGCTTGGTGTTGAAGTGGTCCGCATGCAGAGCTTCCTTCCATACACCATGTAGTAGCCTGTTGCATTGTGGGGGCTGTTCACCCACACCTTACACAACAAGAGAGGGGAGGTGTCAGCAGAGACACAGGGGAAGCTTTACATCCGGTAGAATTACAGTAACAGAATTACATCATGGGTCCCTGATCTGTACCATACAAAAATGCATAATTATGGGATGAATATCATTCTCTTCATGTTGATGTGTTGTCAAATCGGGTGAATGCTGGCAATTATTGCTGATAAACAAAGGAGTCCGCTCATACTGAACTTTGATCATAAGGTTTATTCATATCACAAGCTTTCAGCATAAGTTACAGGTGACATGCCCACCCGGAGAGCGACGCCTCAGATTGCAATGGCCGCTCTGCCCTCTCCTTCGTTTTTCCCCCAGTATATATAATCTCCCCAAGATGTGGGTGGCTCCCTCTACTGTCCAATCCCCTGTCTACAACACACTTCCTGTCTGTTGTATGTGGCGTTACACTAAAACATTCCCTCTTGATACTAAAATCAACATTCTTTCAGTTCCACTTAAAAACATTTAACAAAGGCATAATCCTAATACACGACATTTCCCCCCTTCGAGACTAACTAAAAGTCTCGAAAACAAACAGAATAGGATTATGACCAGTAACAATTTATCTTATTGAGTATCTTTAACATTAAACCAAAAAACATTATCCTCTAGAGTGTAAATACCTTTCTATGAAATATGAATAATTGTTTATGAAGTGTGAATACATTACTATGAAATATGAACAAATCTTTATGGAGTGTGAGAGCGAAAAACTGTCCGGCAACCTTCGTTCCAAATCCATCCATCAATCAAGACAGTAAAATTCTCTCACGGTCCCTCTGCCCCAGGCAACCACCTAGGTACTCCCGATAAACTCATAAACAATGTAAATGCATTTGAAACTATGATGCAATTAAATACACATGTAAGCCCCTGCAAACAAAATCCTATCCAAAAAATATCCACTCTAAGGCTGGTCAACCCATTGGACCCTACAGTGGACCTCTCCCTGCCTAGACTCCCTGTCCCTAAGCATCAATGAAATAAACAAAAACATCTAAGATCCCCACATGTATCCAATAACATCAAACATCATTCTACAAAAATTAATACCTAAGAATATGACACAATTATGTATTATACATGCAAATATGTCTATATTTCATTGCAGACACTGGAATGTAGTCCACTACACTTCATCTCCCCGTAGTCTCGACTTCCAATGGATTGTTGATGATGGAATGGGAACCTTTCCCCCCCTTCCTGGTTCCATCTCCTCCAGTCATTGTCCTTTCATATTGTCCCTTCATATTGTCCTTGTTTGAGTATTTCAATCTCCACATATTCCCCCAAATGCTTCTGGAAGAAAAGAAAAGACCAAACAGTATCTTTTGCAAAACAACACTTTCAAATTAAACATCAATATCAACTAAGAATATAAAAATTATATATAAATGATGTATGAATCAATATAAATGATAGAATAATGAAATAGGATAATTATTCATTCATACACTTCCCCCCTTTGATTCATACAATCATACGAAAATCACCCTAATACTGAAAAAAAAAAAAATATTTGAAAAATTATCAAATAATCAAAAAGGATCTTTATCCATTAATACTCCATCCAGACCCCCTTGTCCATCTTCATCCAGATCAGGAACAGTCAACAACGGCATCTGAGTGTTGTCTCCAGGCATCACTCTCCAACCTATCTCAATATCATAGCTTTCTCAAAGGTCAGTAACAAATTACAAACATCACACACAGTGCTATCAAACCTGCTATTAAAATGTAATCCATCACTGCTCCTACTGGCCTACCTGATCTTGCAACCAAGTCTTCGCTGACCATCCAGCTCCTTCAGATCTACCAAACGCATCCCTTATATTCTTCAATGCATATATAACCCTAGTGATAATATCTGAACTATCTGGACTCAAAGTATAACTAATACCATCAATATGATCTTCCCAAATGTTACACCATACCATGGAAAAAGTCCCCCCTTCTCCCTTAGATTTATCCTTCAAGATAGGCTTGAAGACTATGACATGTCTCTTTTCACCCTATTTCCAAACCTAGATTCAGATTTATCTGTGTCCGGTGCTACCCCTCTTTTAATGGTAGAAACCTCATATGGAAGCTTCAACGTTGACATGTAACAACATCCTGTCCATCCATAGGGTAAGAATATATATGCTTCATCACCACAAACCCTCCAAATATCTCTAAAATTCCCAATAGTCACATTGACAGGCAAAAGCTGATCTTTCAACCATCAAAGTCCTGCTCTTCTTACTAACTGGAACATAAAAATTACATTATATTTCTCATTACTACCCTTAAGGTCATGCATACCCAAAGTTATCATATAACATCACAATCTGATATTCCCATAAACATACCCCTTACATCATATGTTTTATTAGAACAAAAACAACTTTTAGCCCTCAATGGTTTCACCTCCAATGCTTCAGGGTTTGCTGTTACCTGATTTTTCTTCCCATTTAACAAATTCCCATAGGGTAATTCATTTAACCAAGAACATCTAAACCTAGGCTTAAACAAATGTTTTGACAACGACATTATTTTATCGGTTACTGATTGTTGCTGATACCACAGTCATGACAAAGCATAAGATTGACACATACTTGATAGAGGTCGAGCGACCGTCTCTAAAATGTTTGGCTGGAATTCTCAACAGACATGGACCCTCAAGATTCCTCACTGATCTTACAGAATGAGTTACTGGAACCAAAGATTCCTACCTGCCCATCTATCTTTAATTTTCACAACAGAAGAATCAAACCCCATGCATATAGTTTCTCTCTTCCCTAACGAGCGGTACTGATCAGATACCTCTCCTTGTCTGTCATTAAAATCAAAGACCTCATCCTGTACCTCCATGATAGTATCCTTCACTATTTCAGATGAATCTATATTGACAGCACTCTCTATCCGTATCATAAACCCCCGAGTCTCTCTTGCTACCCCCTTTAATTTCAGAAAAGTTGTTGTCGGTGTCATACTTCCTACATTTGCTATTGCCATCGTATCATTAATCCCTTCCAAAGTTACCATTAAAGTAGTTGATTTAGTTGATGTATTAACCTTAATTATTTCTAGTGGGAAAGCTACCGATATCCTATGTGCATTATTTACTGTTGGAGTGACTACTGTAACATATTCTTCCTGAACTCCTTTGGTGACCGTGGAGGCTTCACCAGATTTCAAATCTTCCATTATAAGCGTCACTTTACGAATTACATAGCCCTTTAACCAATAATTCTTAACCGGAACAAATTTTAATGCTTGCACTAGATAAGTACACATATTCTCCCTGATCTTTCTCTGTAACATTACGCAAAATAAGTGAACAGTCACTCATAACCCTCTTCCACTTCATATCGTTGTACAAACTATACCTCCTTTGATTAGGTGCAACAGCTTCTACATCTGGTCCTGATAACAATACTTCTTCTCCATAATTATCTCTCCATGTGGGAGGAACGTCCCCATCCTAACCCTAATAAGTATTTTTCCCCCTAAAATTGGTACTGGAGCTATTGGTTCCCTTATAATCAAATGCGATATATTTATGGCTTTAATAACTATCAATGTTGAAAGAGTTAAATTGCTTCTCACTGTTGTTTTAATAGACTGATTTGTTAATGTCCTTAGTTACTTCATCCATTTTCCCCAAAGCTTTGAAGTCTTTGCTTGTACTTCCATCTATCACCACTAGTGTCACTTTTTCCCAACTCTCAGTCCTACCTCTAATCCCTGACTTTCTTACATTCAAACTTTTGATTATAAAAAATACACCTATAATTACCTTGATCTCCCTGCTGGGAACTGTAAATATAGATACTCAATCACCCTCAATCTTCTCTTATCATTCAGCAACACATACTTTCTCAATGCATCTGCTCCTAACAGATCTAAACTCCTACCATATCTTCCCATTAAACTCTAAAATGTCCTTCACCACTGTTCTCTCTCTTACTACTAACTTTGAAACTTAGCTTACTGTCCTAGAGTTCCTTCAACCCTAGTTCTCCTAACTTTTTTTAATCTAATCTTTTCTCCTAACCTTTAAAAACTTTTTCCCACTGATCTATTCACAAAATCCCTTTACCACCAAATTTTTAGGATATGTGATTGGGAAGTCCCCCTGCTTCTGACTTCTTTACACACAGACTTGGCAAACGACTAAACACCTTTTAGCCTAGCCTGAAATCTCTTGGTGTAAGAATGTAACCCAGAATAACAGTCACCCCTTTTAACTTTATTTTCCAGACAGATTGTCTAATAGGCAGTCTAATAGATTATCATCCTTCCTATGATATTATCTTTTTAAGCAAATATGATTCCCAAAAACCCTACTTTTTAACATCTTCTACCAGACAGCCGTTTAGTGTACATCTTATTGTACAATTCAATTTAAACAATGCATCTCTTCCCAACAATGCAATAGGTATATGTTCTAATATTAGTATGTCTATTTTGATTTCTCTTTGAGTTCTATAGCAGAGCTCAATTGGTTCCTTAAGAGTAATTAACTGTTTTACTACCTCAAATCCCTATCCTAATTAGTTAATTTTACATAGTGAGATGTTTAACCTCTTTAGGCTGAACACAGATACGTTTTTCCCCTATTCACCATTATTTCTCATAGTCCTCTGTTTTTACTTCAATTGTTAGATATTTTCTTCCTAATTGGTGCTATCAGCTGACACCCCCCTTCGTATCTTCTAGGCACTCTAGAATCCTTAGGGTTCACCTGGAGAACAGGTGATCTTGACTTGCTCCTGTATCTTCCTTAAAAATGTTCTCTGTTGTTTCCTCCTGGCCCATTGCACTCACAGGTAAAGTAACCAACCTGTCCATCATTATAACAGTCTTCTGAAAGTTGCTGGAAGTGTAGCTGAAATCTTCCTCCTCCTTCTATTTCTTCTCGTCCTCTTCCTCTCCAATTCTGTGTCTGTCCAGAAACTGGCTGTG